ATTATTTACGTATTTTATTCCAAAGTTTTGAATTAAATATTCAATAAATAGGAATATTATTGTCCTACTGGATTCTAATTGGTAAACAAAATTATTCAAAATTTAGGTAAAATTTATCCAATATTATTGTTGTGATCGCGCGATTCCGAAATATTGAATAAAATATACAATCTCAAATTTTACAGTGTAAGAGAGTCTTTCCCACAAACTAACATGTTCTCATCCCGATATCATTGGCTCAAATGATTTAAGTTTGAAATATCAAAGATTTATTTCATCAGGTTTCAAATATATAGAAATTAGAAAATGTTAGTTTGTGGCAAATACTCAATTCTTTTGAGTCTGAACGTATAATCCCTTGACCGATTTGCTTCAAATTTTGATAGAAGAACTCGGAAGAACCACGGGAATGTTCTTATTTTGACTTACAAATTTACAAAATTCGTCTATGGAAGTGATCGATTGCAGAGCTTAATAATCTTTAATTTTTTTTTATAAAATCCATTGCCCAGTAGTTTTTTATTGTGATTTTTACTTTTTTGTCAAACAAAACAAAAAAAAGTAACATTAACGGCAAAAAACGTAATGTTCCGCATGATAACACAAGACAGTTGCATAAATAGATAATAACGACAATGTAACTAGTTTACACGATATCGACAGATAACAGCATTCTCTTTTTACCCTCTTGAAAAAATGTTTCGTAAAATCCAGGTGAGGACAAATCTTTCACGTGATCAATTTTTTAAAGAAAAATAATACGTTATAATACTTTAATTTAAACTATAAAACTATACACTGCTAGAAACTAAACAGAGGGATTAGGTCAACTTCATGCGATATTTCTGGTGCGTGCAACTTTGTAAAGGAATTTAGTCGCAAACTCTGATTTTCTAATCCCTTTATCTTTGCAACCCAACGTCGTAAACCTTAGACATTTCAAAAATATGAATTCTGTTGGATCAAATAAAGGTTTGAAATAACAAAGGTTTACATCATTAGGTTACAAAGATATTGGGATTGGAAAATTTGAGTTTGTTAAAAAGTCTCAATACCAAAGTACCATAGTACCTTCTTAATCTCAAGTACTGATTTGACATACAAGTAGGATAAAAGCAGAGAAATTAAGTCTTTACCACAAACCTTATTTTCTAATTCCTTTATTTTTGCAACTGTTGCTAGTTATTATTTGATCCAACAGTGGCCGAATTTAAAGAATTAGAGCGGCGGTTTAAATTTAAACCGCGGTCTAAATATGGTTGGTTCCACTTAAAAGTGTATCAAATGTTTCAAGATTTAAGCCGGCGCTAAATTTAAACCCGGTTTTGGCGGATTTAAACCGCGGCTCAAATTCTTTAAATTCCATCTCAGAATTCATAGTTTAAAATATCTAGTATACTTTAAATTTTAGCTGTGTATTCTACTGTTTAGATACTTTATATTTTAGCTGTGTATTTTACTGTTTAGTATACTTTATATTTTATCTGTGTATTCTACTATTTAATATACTTTATATTTTAGCTGTGTATTCTACTGTTTAGTATACTTTATATTTAAACTGTGTATTCTACTGCTTAGTATATTTTATATTTTAGCTGTGTATTCTACTATTTAGTATACTTTATATTTTAGCTGTGTATTCTACTGTTTAGTATACTTTATATTTTAGCTGTGTATTCTACTGTTTAATATACTTTATATTTTAGCTGTGTATTCTACTGTTTAATATACTTTATATTTTAGCTGTGTATTCTGTTTATAACCAATATAAGTTTAGGAGAACAACTAGATGAAAATGATCTAAGAAAAAAGGTAAAGTTTTTGACCTTATACTTGTAAGAGAAATTAATTCTTGTTTTCGTTTAATTATTATTTTTTCTTGTTGTTTAGATCTTTTTTGAGGAAGTTGTTGAACCTAGAAACATCAGAATTACAGGAAAACATTGAAAAATCTAATTTTGTTTTTGTAAACATTTTTAATGAAGCCATTTTTTCGGATTTAAGGAAAAAATCATAAATGACATTGAAAAAGGGTTTGTAGTAACTGAAAAATTGTCTCAAACTACAATTCGTTGATCCCTAAATCTTTGTATTCTGAGAATAAATACCTTTGATATTTTGAACTTTTGAACAAAAATAATCTATTAAATATTCTGGTCATAGGAAACTATTATGTAAATTATCAAAATTATCAAAATTAAATGCTTTTAACCTCCTCGGAAACTAAACGAACGTTATATTAGGTTGAAAAGACAGAGAGGTTAGAAGACTGTATTTATCATAGATAAAGATAGATTGCGCATAAGACGACATTTTTCATCTTAAAAGATATAAATGTACAGAGATGTTTTAAAGATATTCCTATTATATAGATTAACTAGGTCGGTTGTTAACATTGGCTGTTCTTATATCATTGAGTACTTGTGGTGTACATGAGTTCTGTAAAAAGAAATTTAAGTTAGTTTAGTCCTTCTCATGTCCTTCTTCAGATCTCGTTAATATGATATATTGCTCAGTGAAATAATATGATATTCTCAAGATAAAATTCACTCCTGAGTGGTTTAATGATTATGAAATCCATTAAAACACCAAACCACCCCGCTTATCATTGAAGTACACTTTGACCACTAGAAGTATGAGTTCGCGGACTGTATAATTCTTGGTGATTTTGCGTACATAAGCTATCTATGTGTATTTATTTATCTATGGTATTTATGTTAAAGTTTTGATTAAAATGAACTCATTGAATAAAAAAATAATTATAATAGTTTTCTTTAAAGGTAATGTAGCAAGTGACTCTCTGATTTACATGCGGTATCCCTTAAACCTTAGGTAGAAATTCTTATTTTTTAGTTGAAAATTTACTGTCATGGTCACAATAATAATAGAATAAGGAAATCTCCGTCATCCTTACTCGGACATTAGGATACAAAGGAACAATAGTCAAGTGGCGGGTCAATTGAAATGATGTCTGCATGTGTCCCTTAAGCTACAGATTTTTATGATTTAAAGATGATTCTTATCTCCACACGAGTATAATCCTCTCCAATATCCAACCTGAGAAGGACGGAACGGTTCCAAAAATCTTAAAGAATCTGAGAGTGTTCTCTAGGTCACTGTTGGAGCACAGGCAGGATGTTCTTCATTTTTTTTAAGTACATTTTATTCAATTTTAAGTAAACAATTTATTCCACATTTTACTCCTAATTTCACCATCTCTGGGATAAAATGTACTTTATTGATCCTGACACTAAAACATTAAAAACTTTAATATTCAAACATATCAGGGAATCTAAAACTAAATACAATTCGGGAGTTTTAAAATTCCAAACGTTAAATTTATCGATATAATGATTAAGTATTTTAAACCATGTTAATACAATATTATGTTACGTTATATTGAATATATATTTCGAAATGATTTTGGTTGAAAAAAAATGTTGTACAGTGAGGGCACTCCAGTACATCTCATGTTCTTAACAGACGAACAATCAAAGGTTATTTAATAGTTACACTTGAAAAAAAAAATTAAAATTTATAAAGTAGCATGTACGATTCACAACGGTTCCCCTTAAACCTTTGTCCATAATTTTCTCTTTGAAGATTATTTATTTTCAAATTCAATTATTTTTCTTAAAAAGACTCTATTGTACTTGAAAATAATTAGCTATCAATGTCCTGACTGACCTAGGAGGAACATTATTCTAATACTCCATACCCCTCCCCCTCTTCAACACTCTTTCACACTCAACTAAATATAAGGAGAAGGTCAAACTGTGATAATTTATTTGCTTACATATTAGAAAGGAACTGTGTTTTTGCCACAAACTAAAATTTTCTAATCCTTATATATATATCTTTGCAATCTGATGGTGTAAGCTTTTGATATTTAAAACTTGGACTTTTTGAATAACAGAATTCATAGTTTGAAATATCAAAGGTCTATAGGTTGCAAAGATTTAAAGATTAGAAAATCTAAGTCTGTGGCAAACACTCAATGGCTTGCTTCATAAATTTAGTTTTAATTAAGTTTGAGATACAGAAGGTTCTCTTGGAAGAGATAGGTCGTCATCTCTCCTATAATGTATTCAAACCTACCTTCATCTTGAATAGGAATAGAATATTTCCAAGGTGAAACAGCGAAACCCATAAAATGTGTAATAGAAAGACGACATTTATCAATCTTCTGAGTATTAAATGTTGTTTAGACGCAAATAGTTTTACAAGTAGCTTAACCTAACTTTTAAATCAATCTTCTGAGTATTAAATGTTGTTTAGACGCAAATAGTTTTACAAGTAGCTTAACCTAACTTTTAAAGTGAAATTTACACTGCACAATTGCTGTAATTTTATGTACAGTGAAAACTTTCAAAAATCATAACTTTAGTCCAACTGTCGTCCTCCTATTCCATGATTTTATAGGTTCTACAACTAAGTTACGTTGTACTTATGTCGATTATTATATATATTTTTTTTTTTATTATTATTAGCAAATAGTGACTACAAATGTTTTTGACAATACCACCATTCTTTAAGGACGGAAGAGGATATAAAATATATCGAAATAAATTTCCAAACCCGAGTTTTTCTACCTGTGAGAGTAAAACCTTTTTTTGCTAGTTTGGACAATTTACATTTACAAATGTTTTTTACTTAACATCTTTTTCCGTAAAGCAAAACAAAAAAAATAAAATATATAACCAATTGTTAAATTCTTTTAAAACATTGAATTTTTAAAATGTTTTTGATTTCACTATTGTACTCCACCTAATGTATTGTCTAGGGGGCTAAAAGTGGAATATTTAAAGCTAGAGGTTTTCTCTACTAATTATAAACAACAAATAGGAATCCAGTGCAGTACAGTGCAGTACGGTATGCAATACAATACAGTACAGTGCAGGACTTTACAATACAATACAATACAACACAATACAATATAATACAAAACAATACAATACAATACAATACAATACAATACAATACAATACAATACAATACAATACAATACAATACAATACAATACAATACAATACAATGCAATACAATACAATACAATACAATACAATACAATACAATACAATACAATTCAGTACAATAAGATACAATGCAATGCAATGCAATGCCATATACAATACTATGCAATACAATGCAATGCAATACAATGCAATGCAATACAATACAATGCAATACAATGTAAAACCTACAATACATTACAATACAATACAATACAATACAATACAATACAATACAATACAATACAATACTATACAATAAAATACAATACAATGCCAAATACAATTCAACTGGATTGAATTGACTCTAGATGACATGAGAACATATTTTGGAATTGTTTACGAAGATTACGAAATTGAGGTAATTTTTTTCTAAATTATTATAACCATTTATGTAGGCTTCTGATTTATAGCATTTATTTTTATATAAAAAGTTAAATTTTGGGAGGGGGGGGGGTAGTTATATTTTTAAACTTTCAATTCAGACATCCTTGGAGACACATTAGATATATCTACCCTGCTGCAAGCCGGGGATATAGGAGACCCAGAAAATATACTTAGATAGAAATATATCAGAAACTATTGAGGCTTCGCGCCACTTAAATTCTCACTTTAAACAAATCTCAAAATATTTCATCTTAAAGGGACTGTTACCGTAATTTCAAGTGAGCTATCATTTAATGGAACAAATTATTGCATTTAAAAAAAAAAATGTTTATGTGCACAATTTTTGTGTAGTATCGTTAATTTTGATCTCGATATCTCCAACGCGTCGGAGCACTTTTAGTTTTAGGATAAATGCTTGATCCCTTGATTTAAGTTATCCCTACAGCTGGTATGACCAACAATGCAGACATTTAAAGGTTGCAAGATCTCGCGCAGAAATCGATGAGAATTTTGCCAATTACTTCCTAACACTAAAGCAAGAAACAAGCGCTCTATATTTTTTAAATGTCTTAATGGTTTTGCGACACTTCAAAGTCGACCCGGTCAATTGTGAAGTTGTGACTTCAGGGGAAACTTGCGGAAAGTGTTCACAGGTTTATTTTCATTAAATGATTTTTAATTATGAAATATATTTGTATATTATAGAATGCAGATGGAACAAAAACTGTTGTACATTTTCATACAAAATACAGACAGGTTAAATTTTAAATTAGTGCAAATATTTATTTCTGTATAGAATATGAATTTTATTTCATTTAAAAAATGTATTTCGGACTTTTTTTGGTGCTTTCGTTTCACAGAAATTTTTCAAATACTTGTTTCTCATGATTTATATTATATGGCTAGAGCTGAGAACTTTAGAATGGTGGATATCAGGATTAATGCTTAATCCTCTGTTTTTGCTAATCTCGAGACTAACTTAATCTCGAGATTATGTTAGTCTTGAGATTAAATATTTAGATCAACAAATTGGATTCTAAGAACGCCAGATTTGTTCGTTTTCTTGACTGAAAGTGTCCTTACTTAATTTCTCACCCATTTATCTATTAATACATTAGTTAAAATTGGTTACAAAAGAATCTCAAACGTATTATTAAATATTTTTCTTCACCGATTAATTTACAAAATGGCTGACAACAAATTCTTGATTTGTTAGAAATTGCGGATTTCTCTCATGGGATAGAATTTATTTACAAGGCTGTCATTGGTCAATACAATTTACGAACTATAATCCTGCACTCTCATTGGAGAAAATAATGTAAGGATATCCAAAGAGAGAGAAAAAGAGTGGATTAAAAGACTAAAATTAAAAGTTTCCAAAGAGGATATTCGGATTAAGTAGTTGGGATTAAAGGTTATCCATTCCAAAGTTCCCAGCTAAGATTCTAGAAGTTACATAACACTATCGGTGCCCTTTAAACCTGCAATTGAAAATTTCCAATCTTTGAAAAAAAAATTAAGGATTAACATTTAAATCTTTATCTAAGAAACAAGTAGAAACATTTTGCCTTTTTCTCTCTTGAAAAGAAATAAATTCTGTTAAAATCCTTCCTTGTCAATGATGAATTTTCATAAAAAACCCCGCAACTAAAATTTGAATATGTTTGCAGGACCTATTCTATATTGGACCGATGTATCATCTAGAGTTCCCTGGCTCCATCAATATTTTACTAGTTCTAGATGTAGATCTAGAATTCAAGTAAGAATTTATCAAAACTGTAAAAAATACTTTTGTTATTTTTATTAACTTTTTAGAATAGATCTGCTAGAACTGTGGAAAGAGCATAAACAAATGAATGCTAGGTAGATATTTTTATACACACAGGGATACCCACAAAGGATGAGACTTAAACTTTAAGTATACTACAGTTAAACCTTAAATGAGCCATACATCGAAAGAATTAATCAAATGTTGTCTTGACAATTGTTATACTATGTTTATAGTTACATGTTACATAAATCTCACCTAATTTGCGAAAATAAATAAATAGCCCTGAATATGCAGGACCAGTGAGCTTCATATAATCATTTAATTAAAAAACTAAATATCTGCAACATTTCATTATCAGAAAGTGAAGATTTCGACATTCTTTCGATGTATGGCTTATTTAGAGTTTAACTGTATCTAAAGGTTGAATTAGGGGTTTTGTATTAAAATTGCATATGTAATGATTATGTAAGAAAATGAGAAAAAAATTAAGACTTTATATATACCAGTCGTCTCTGAAGTCTCGTGCTTTGTGAATGACCCTGTATATTGATTTAGAAATTGATTATCTTATTGAAAAAGAACAGAATCCAAATAAGCAATGAAATCCAAATCCATGCTATTTTCAGTTTGTAAAAACTATAAGGCCCAGAAAACTGTGAAATATCTAGACGACATTTAAGAAACCAATTTGATGTTGTTACTAAGTAAATAGGTGTAATATCGCTTCAAAAACAACCTATTAAGTAACATTGTTCTGTCTTTCCTGCCAAATTTCTGTGTCTCATCATGGTTAGACTATTTAAAATCATAACTTGAGACTAATAGTCGTCTTCCTATTCCACAGATATTTGCATGTAACTAATGTAATCGAAAATGCTGTCATCTATATATAGATTTGGCTTGTCTGTCTTTTTGTTTGCTTGTCTATTTGTTTCTATCCATTAAACGTCAAGACGGCTGAGCCAATCAGGCCCAAACTTTTTGTGGAACATCACATGACCCCAAAGAAGGTTTATGGTCAATCAGACTTTAAATAAGTAATCTTAAAGTATTTTTATCTTAAATTATTTAATTTTGTAAAATTTTGAAAATGCGCGAAAAAATATTATGAAATCTGCAAATTAAACAAAAAATATTTTATACTGTACAAAAAGAAAATGATGTCATATAAAGCCACAATTAAAAGTTGAAAAAGCTTAGTTACTCAAAATTGTGCTTCTAAGATATCTATCTAGACAGTTTTATTTTACATACAGGGTGTCCCACAAAACATGACAATAGCAAGACGACTTGAAAGTCGTCTTTGATATTTAAATTTATTTGTGACATTTAGTCTTCTATCTACTTTAACATGTATGATTCTTGAAACAATTATCACATAATTCTCCTAGCCCTGGCATTTCCAAAAAGTGGTCTGCGTTTTTTGTGCTTTCAATATTACCGGAGATATAAAGAGTTTGGTTAAGATTTCAATTTTGTTAAATAAAAGCAAAATTGTCGAAATCTGAACGAAATTGTTCATATCTCGGGCAATATTGAAAGCACAAAAAATGCAGACCATATTTTGGAAATGGCAGGACTAGGGGAATTTTGTGATTATTATCTCTAGAAATTTACTTCTAAAATTAGGTTGACAAATAAATACAGCAAATTATATCAAAAATCAAGACGATATTCAAGTCGTCTTGCATACTGGCATGGTTCGTGGGACACCCTGTAGTTTAAGGCATTATTTGAATAAAGATTTTTTTAAAGGGACTTAATTCTTCATGACTCTCCATTAGAGTTAAATTTGTCCGATTGTATCCTTGCAAGATTTCTTTGACTAAGAATGAATCATCTTCTCCTTAAAAGTAAATTATTTTCAATTATGGTTTCTCAATAAAGAGATTTGCGCAATTTTGCTACATTAACAAATTAGAGAAAATTGTTTAATTAAACAATTTTCAGCTTGACAAAATGACGATATCTTCTTCTTTATTGATACAAAAATGTGTAAAGGGTACTGTTCTGAATCTGGCATGCCCCGCTATAAATTGAACGTTCATGTTAATTTACAAAAACCGGCCCTTTAATCCCTTTAAGAGATAGTTTTTGACTTTTCGTTATAAATTATGCCTTGTTATCAAGCACAATAATACTCCTTGGTAATCGAGGCAACAGTTTAATTCTAAATGTTCTTTTATTGAGACTTTAAAACATCAATTTTTACTAATCAAAATAATAATCTTTAAGTCAGCTGCTCGGGATAGGGCCGGAGCTTACTAGATATTATAAGAAACGAGCAGGAAGCTTCATTGAAAAAAATCCGGGAACTATGGTCGGTGAACCTGGAGCATGGCAGGTAATTGTCATTTTTAATGAGAAAAGCAGAGATGGAACTTTTTGGAATATGAAAAATATTGTTTATCTGTGTACACAGATCCATATCATTAGATGTTGAAGCTAATAAAATTTTTGTTTTATAATGACATAAAATATACAACAAATCAATAGTTAAAACTAGTAATTTATCCTTGTTCAAACTGAGCTCCATAAAAAAATGTCCAACCTAGTATTTTTTGTTTCAAATTTTAAAGAATGAATAGCTGCTTTAATCACATATTTCTTAGAAATTTTTTACTTTAAATTATTTTCTCTGTTTAGGGTTTTAACAGCGGAGTAGTTGTTTATCATCTAAAGAATATTCGAGAAAATCAGCTGTTTAATCAGCTGATCACACCGGACTTTTACAAGATGGCGGCAGACAAATACTTTCTTGGCGGAGTTGGGGACCAGGTGCATTTTTAAATAACAAAATTCGAAAATATTAAATAACAGAGAGAAATTTGATTGTTTAATTGTACCACACAGTTGTACAGTAAGACCCATAAGACTGTGGAATAGGAAGATGATCCATTTAAGCAATCTTTTGTGCATTCAGTTGATGTAAAAATGTAATTTTTTTTCAAGTTTTTTTTGTTGGATTGTTTTTTTTTTCAACTTCATTTCTCTTATATCGTCGGAAACTCCTATTTAAAACACTGTTAAGGTCACCATTGGAACACCTTTTAATTGCATCGCTCGATTTCTATTTTGCTGGGAACACAAAAATAATCAGAATAAATGTATATCTAGGGTCTGCTTACTCTGCTGGGTTGGTAGTAATACGAAGAATAAATGAGTATCTAGGAATAGTTTACACTGCTGGGTTGGGAGTAATATGAATAATAAATGTATATCTAGGGTCTGCTTACTCTGCTGGGTTGGTAATAATACGAAATAAATGAGTATCTAGGAATTGTTTACACTGCTGGGTTGGGAGTAATATGAATAATAAATGTATATCTAGGGTCTGCTTACTCTGCTGGGTTGGTAATAATACGAAGAATAAATGAGTATCTAGAAATTGTTTACACTGCTGGGTTGGGAGTAATATGAATAATAAATGTATATCTAGGGTCTGCTTACTCTGCTGGGTTGGTAGTAATACGAAGAATAAATG